GACGCTATGCTCGCGGCAACAGTGACTTTGTAGACGCCCTCCGCGGAGAGTTCCGTAAATTTGTGTTCTGTGCCCGGCTCATACTCAGTCTTTACCAGGGTATCGCCGGAGTAGAGGGAACAGGCGTACTCTTTAAGCCTCCCTGGTGGATTTGCAGGAGCGGACCACTGAACCCTCAGGGCGTTGTTGCCTTCCTTGGTAACAGTTAGACCTGTTGGCATCCCAGGCACTACGAGTGAAAAAGAGATTAAAAAGAGTGTGAGATGGCATTCCAGATCGACTTTTACCAGATGAAGATAATACCCGGGTAAGGAAAGTTTTCTGATTAGGTAGGTTTCGCTGACAAAAAAGGAACAGATTTTTGTAATAATTAACTGGCTGGGGGCTTAAGTCTCATTTACGCAGCCCAGGATAGAATAATCAATGGCCGATAATACTCCCAGTGTTCTTGCAGTTGTCGGCGAATAATTCGAAATTATTGACTGTCATTCGTAATGTGACATCCTATTTTACTCCGTCATACAATTATGAGAAAAACTAGCGCGAGAGAATGAGGTATTTAAAGTCAACAAGATTAAATTACCGATCGCTAAGTTATAATGCGAAGAAAGACATCTGCTAAAATGACTACAAATAAGGATTTCCAGTGCATTTACTTAAATAAAATCCGTCCCCCGGGACGAGTTAGAGACGAAAAGTCCATTCCTTACGCACTAGAGAATAAGAGGTTTGTATCAGGTGACAGGGCGATAGACTATGACAGCCTGGATAGGTGTGTTAAACAAGTCTATCAGATTTATAAGACGTTAAAATTAAGTTCTTTAAACTGATGGGCAATTATGTGGTCCCACCTTGGAAGCGGAAGGCGATAACTCCGTAAATACAGTAGCCTTATTAACAGGGACTAAGAACTGATAGATAAATTTTTAGGAGGCAAAATACCCTAACGCAATTAATTTGTTTAGATACCCAAGAACGACGTAAAACGCGAACACGTAAAGACAAATATCAGGGATTTAGACCCCTAAACTGGCGGAAAAACTGAAAACCGAGGGTACTGGTTATATATCTTAGGCCCATTATGACTAACCACACTGAAGGAAAGAGTGTTATCATTAAATCCGACTCGAAATGAAGTTTGCAACGTTGATAGCCTACACTGAACCCTAGCCTAAACCCTAATAGGACTTCTAACCCCGGTAAACTCTAATCCTAGTCCTATTTTTAACCTACAAGTCTAAACCGAAAACCACCAAACTCGAACCCCGAGAGAGGCGTGACAAATGACACGTGGAGGGAATGGGGATTGGGTTGGGCTAAGCCAATAAATTTATCTAAGTGCCTTTATGTTAAAGATAAAACGTCTGTGGGGCCATATATCTGTTTGTCACTGATTCTTTTTTACTTTTAAATAAAAAAACCAAACTATGAGAAAACGAATATCGTACTTCCAGGCGCCGTGGTAGCTTCCAGTGGGCTTTCAGTCCTCGTATAAACGCCGCTTACGATGATGTCAACGGTGTACTTTGTGTTGGGCTCCAGATTGTTGATGCTCAGCCCACGCGCAGTCATTGGCAGAATACCGGCCTGGGGCCCCCGCGGTCCACCGGTCACAAGATAGGTGAGGGCCAAGATGCGGGGGTCCGAGAAATTTTGGGCTTCCCACTCTCTTCTCAGAGACGTTGGACCCGTGACTCTCAACGTCCCTCCCACCGGTGTGAACTCGGCTGCAGTTACACAATAATAAAAGAAAAAAACAGTGTCGGTGAAGCAGTATTCAAGCGACGCTTTTGCTAAAATGCCCGCACCAGAAACGTAGTATTCTCCATCAACCTTTGCCTTAAAAACTACAGAAATGCTAACTTTAAGGACGCCCTAGGACAGTCTTGACAGGCGGAAAACGTACCATCAGATATCGTGTAGAAAAGGCCTCCCAAGATCCCGACTCCTCTGCCTCCACCACAACTGTTCTCATCCGCTTTTGTACTGGCGGCCAGGTTGACGTAGAACGGTAAAGTGGCGTTCAAATTATCGAGTGTGTGATTTTTAGCAGAGGCATCAACAGTGACGATTTGATTTGGTCCATTCGGTGTCCAGTAGTCAATGATGGTTGTATTAGCTGTTCCAAAGTACTGGGTTGGATTTTCCCAGGCAAACTCCACCGAGTTCTGCATGGCTTTCAGAAGACGGATTTGCGAAACCGGACCGGGAACTGCAGGGATGAAAAGATTCATAGAGTGTTTTGTCTCCACACCACTCATTGACACTCAGATACCTTAAAAACAACTATTCGTTCTTCTTACTGACGAAAAAGAAAGCGATGAAAGGTATTTAATCGGAATACCCTAGTCAAGTCTCAAACCAACATACCCTTAGGTACAGCTTTTGGCGTTGTCAGGATGCTGCCTTAACTTAACGACCGGACGAAAGCTTATGTAAAGGTATAGACTCATTGTTTTTTTTAACTGTCTCCACAGTGACAACAAATGTAGGCTAGCCTATAGTAAATAGGCGGTTTTCAATTTCGATTTTGTGCGAAACTACGCTACCTTCAGCTTCTTCAAATATTTTTCATCTGCCGACAATTCCTTTAGTATTGTCGAATTAAAGCGGAACTGTTTGGAGGGTGCAATGGTGCCTTGTAAGCGAGCTATTGTTCAGTGCACAAAACCTACACACAGACGTTCTGCTAGGTCAACTGCATCATCTCGTCTTCTTGTCCAACATTCATTATGGCTAAGTTGTGACGGAGATCGAGTGGTCACGTGGTTGCAGTGACTGAGGTGTTTCGAAGATTCTTCTGCAGCTGCATGACGCAGCAACGAGGGGTTCTGCTCCTCCGTGAATCTCCCCCCCTCAGCCTCCTTTATGCGGCTTCTGGTGGAAAAACTTCAGAGGATAATCAAGGGGATAATTTCGAGAATTATTAAGGGCATGACATTGAATTAAGTGACCGGAATAGTAATTTTAGGGTCGGACTCGAAATTTCGATGAACAGTTTATGAACGGACACATATACCTAGACCTATGCAATTAAACTTTATTAATACACGGAGAACAAACAAAAGACTGAACCATTGTGGCTTCACTACGCGACCCAAAACAGTTTGCGTTTATGAATGATAATGTGCTTGGTTGAGGTTATGAATACAAGAATTGGTGCACATATAAGGTCTTAAAATGGGACTTTTCTAATCCTATAGACGATCTCACTTAATTTTGAAAATTTCACATATTTGTAAGGTAAATAGTTTCTTTGGAATTGAAGATGAATATTTGTAAGTAAAAGTGTACGCACCACCAGGACATGTCTTATATGTCTTGCTTATGGCCGTTCCCGCCTCCAACAAACCAAATGCTTGAAAGGAAACGTTGTATTCGGTATCTGCATCAAGTTTCGATATTGTATAGTTCACAGTAGGCGGATACAGAGTAACCCAAGACGACTTCGTGTCAGTGGATTTATGGTAGTGAATTTCGTAGTACGAAATTGATCCTGGGTCGGTGGGTGTCCATTTTAGGAAAAGACTGCTTGAACTGGTTGCAGTAACAGTGAGTTCTACTCTAATATTGGCGGCTGAAAGAAATGAAATTTTAACATATGGTTATGCAAGCAACATCAAAACTTCAAAGAAACGGTAGCGTGAAATATGTAGTTGAACAGAACCCAACTGCATTTATTTGCTCTCTAGAAGACAGACGTTGGTAGAGAAGTTTTGCCTTTGAACGGAATGTCCTTCAAGAAAAAAATAATTATACTTACCTGTTTCAGAGTATCTATCGTACATTACAGAAACTAGCACGATTGCATTTGGGGATTTTGCATGATTACCGTGGATCTTCACATCGTGTTAGAAAGTTGGACGTGTCGAGTGGGTCATATCTTCTGATATGCATTTAGCAGTGCAACTTAAACGTGGGCATATAAAGGCAAGATGAGCCAACGCTAAGTGGCAATCGTAAACATCATTTGACTTGAAGTATAAAATCGGAATGTAGAAGAATGCACTCAGTCGCCGTAAAAGTCAAAGACGACGACGAAAGAAGAAAACACGAAATGTTTTGCGGAAAGAGTTTACGTCCTCATAGGGGTGGTTTTGGTGATAAGAGTCGTCAGCTATTTGTTCTGCCATGCTACCGTTAGTAACGAAACTTCACCTGGCGTCGAGAAAATAGACAAGCGATCAGTATTGCCATCGAAGTCCGCCCGAACTGTTGCTAATTTATGGCTAATTAGAACTGATCATGTTTCTGCTCCTTACGTCTGGTTGCTTAATAATATAACAAATTTGCTGGCACAAGCATATTTTACAAATGTTGACCAAAGATCACTTATTATGAAGCAATGGAAGGCAGCTGAAGAATGTCATGGAATACGCTTGTGTCAATAAACCCCGCCCTTACTAAATTTATACAGGTAACGCGATACTTCCAACTACCAATTAGTATTTAAGAGTACATCCGACGCGGCAAATGGGTTTTGGAATTTCCCGTTGAAGAATGAGACCACCTTTACATACAAACTGCACATGCTCGAGCCAAAGTAACGAAATTCTAGCAGCGAAATAGGAACTCCAAGAAGGCTTTCACATGTGCGAGCCATCAAAGAAGAATCCTGCTTTAATGTGAAATGAACGTCAGCTCGTTGCAGGGCACGCATCAACGCGTTCAGCACAACACGCCAGCAGTTCATGTTCAACCATAGGAATCTCATTTTCTCTTGTGTAAACTAGCGTCTCTAAGATAATAGCTTCAGATTTGTACAGTTTTCGCCACCTCTGCTGACCAACCTTACAAAGGGTCTTGTGTTGACTGTGCTGGGCCAACACTTAGGCAACAGCAGGCGTTACTAATGACACACACCACCTATGAGGGGTGCAGACGCATGACGTGACGCTATTTTTCCACGTATTCGTCTTTTAAACTTGAAAGGTTCGTGAGGGAGGATATACTGTGACTGGTGGGGCACCCGGTGGACCTCGCCGACAGCTGTGGTCAGGAGTGATCTACCCGGGCTTAAAAATACTGTACAGCGTACGTGACAATCCGACTAATTTGTTGACCTCGTTCATCCCAGACAACATTATTTAAGTCATTGTAGCATACTGCTAGGAGTACGACATTTCAGCATATCGGAGGTCAGTTAGTCCAAGTTCCACTGTAAATGCATTATGAATAGCGTAGAAGGTTCCGGAAAATGCAGCAAAGGAACTAATTTAACAACAAAAGCGACAGAATGAAAAACATCCGGGAACAAAACCGAATGCCAAACGATGGAAAAGGACTTTTATTGACCCCGGTTAATCCAATTCGCTGTCAAGCTACGAATAGTCACAGTCAACCAAAGTAAAATAGATTAAACAGTAACCAGTTAGTCGTACAAAAATGGTCTAAGTATCTTGATCTGGAAAGCTAAAACACACTGTAGTATGCCACAAGCCAGCGTAATAGACACTCATTTAACATTTAACTAGTTTCACAAAATTGAACTGACTATACATGTTGTGCGTTTCATAAAGTGGTGCAGAGAGGTCTCTTCGCTTTAAGAAGTTATGTTTTCAAGTTTGCGAGAAATAGTGCGACAGCATATTTCCGTGGAAGTTCTATGGCATGGTAAATTGCATTACGTCAACTAAAAGCAGTAGGAGATTCTTCAGTTTTCTTGCATACTCCCATCGTGGCCATGGGCTTCCCATTTAAATAAGTATGCGTGAAATTAGACCCGAGGTCGTTAACTAGTTAACCATTATTTTCCGAGAGCCTGGGAGAGAATTAACAGTGCATAAAACGAATAAATGTGCACAAAGCTTGCTCGAGGTGTGTCGATGAAGTTTATTTTATCATTAACGGTTGGTGAAGGATGACGCATTATTTTGGTAGACGGTAGAGACATTACCCCTTCCTATGACGTGGCACAGGAATTACTGTAAATGTGCTATTTAGTCCCCTTTTATGTTATGAATATCAGAAGAAAGTCAGGGGATAAAGTCACACACAAGATATATCCAGTATATTCTCAGATGATACCTATAGGTAAGCATCGAAGGTAAATCAAACTTTCATCCAACACCTTTCTCGCGGAAAACCGTACACGACGTCTAATAAAAGGTGCAATTACAATAACTGTTTGGTAGGTAGAAATAAAGTGATAAACGAGTATAAAAGGCCTTTCAAACGCCAAAGAATTAGAGGTTGGTTTCAAGTCATATTTTTAGTGCCATTTCATCAATGCTAAGTTCAAACGTGGCTTTATACATTTTACACCGCAGGCTCGATTACGCATTAACAACATTGTGTAAGATTAGTTTATACAATATGTTCACTCAATTTAATATAAAACAAATAGAAGTCTAGCATTTGAACTACCAAAAGTTTGAGGGATTATGTATTCCCGTAAATTACATACATAATTTTCAGATAGTTACGTCTTATGCATGATCAGGTACATAATTGCATTACAAAGAAAAAACATAAAATGCATTTTTTACCTGATAGGCCCAGGCTCAGCAGCAGAAACGTGAAAAGCAGAGTAACCCGCATCCTGCGGACAGAAAGCTCAGCGAAGCACTAAACAGCCAACCTGCTGCCTTTGCGAGTAATAAAACACCTT